TTTAACTAAACCTATTTTTGAAGGAACCAGTTGTGTAATGGATCCTGTTTCCATATATGTAGATCCCCCTTCAATTTGACGCAATTCTGCCGATGAATCCATTTTTTCTTATATTTTACTTTTTTATATTTATTTAAATTATGATCAAATTCTGGAAACGAAAGTTATATGTCACTAATGACACATAATTATGTTTTGTTCCTAGGATAACAAATGAGGTGGTTACGATCTCCGAGCAATTACTAATAGAGGGAGCGTGAAAACGAGTTTGTAGGCGATTGTTGTGTTAGCAACATCTGTGGAGGAAGTGAGGAAGCGGGCACAAGGGGGAAGGTAAACATCCTTCTTGTTCAGTGGCGTATCATTTACCTATAAAAACACACATTGTCCAAACGTTTCAATTTAAAAAAAAAACTAAAAAATTTGCTAATTTTACTATTTTTAAAATGAATACCGTCTTATATGTGTCTAATGCAGGAAATGAAACAAAATCACTGTAAAGGTCTAATTTTTTCAATTGAAGAATAAAACCTTAAAATCAATTTTATTATAAATAAATACAGAAGCGACTAGTTTCGGCCTTACAGGAATATCTTCAGGCCTATAATACAATAATCTTTAATTATTATAATAGGTTGGTCACTTATTACGAATAACATTAAATAGTATAAACCACAAAAATGGATCCATATTGTAGCGTTACAGCATTATAGAATTAAAGCTGTGAAAATAAAAGAGCAGTGCAAACGTAACTAAACATAAGAAAACTGGGTAGGAAATCTACAAGAGAAGAAGTGAGAATGAGTAATTACGAATGCATTTAAATTGTTCTGGATAACAAATAAAGCTGATAATGTAGTGGTGTAGTCCCCGTCAAAGAAGGTCTGGATATGTTAAAGAGGACGGCGTTTTCTCTGTAAATCTGGAGGGAAGACGAATCTTGCTGGCTCAGGTGTATATGGCTAGAAAAAGGAGCGTGTAGATGGAAGCTCCAGTAAATATCGTCACTTTCGTCTAATTTTTTATTCTCACTCACCGTTTTGGCTTTATCTTCGAAATTCATTTTTAAAAGGAAATAAAAGTAATCATTCATACAAGCATATAATAAAACAACATGAATTCATTATATTTAATAATTTAATAAACGTTTGTTTCAATGAAAAAAACATATGTGAATATAAAAAATATATAAATAAATAAGATTAATATCAAAATCAATTTGAAAATACAACAGATAATAAAATAAAATAAATTAACACAAGTACAAATAGAAAGTTAATAACATACCTTTTAAAATTAACATATTTTAAGTAGATAAATGTTTAAAGAGTTTATTCCTGAACATAACTAATCTAACGTTTTTCCCCTTTTTAATATTATGAGGGTTTTTGTAGTTGAAATGAAAATTATAATTTATTTTGGTCCTAATAAAAATTTAAACATAGGTTATCAAAGAGTAAAATACATAATAGAACTTCATAATCTTAAATCGTTATCAAAAATTATTAATGGTAAAACTTCAAACAATAATTAGATTCTTAGGCAAATTTTTAGTTTTTGTTTTGCAATAGACTTTTTTGCCTTCTTCGGTTGCGTCTGCCACTTTTCTTTTAGTAGTTTCGAGGAGAATTTTCCTATGGAAACCAGTAGAACCATCAATTGGTTGGTAAAATTTTGATATTTTGGGTCTGTTAAAGTCTTGTTAAACTTTCTTCTTAGGAAGCTGTAACCTTATGGAAAATAAAAATTTAATGTTAGATCAAAAGCTCTTAATTGAGAATTATATTTGCAAATGCCGTTTTAATAATATTTTCAAAAGTTCTTGGAATCGTTGTTAACAGAAACCTGCAAAAAAATATATCATTTTATTCCTAAAATATAAGACATCACACAATACACATTCATATATCATTGTGCTAAAAAAATACTAGGTAGGTACTGAGATAATTTAAAAAAAGTATTTCGAGAAACTCAACTTTTAATGTCATCATTGTATTTAACTTTTTTATTGCTAAATTGTTAATAATTTCATTTTGTGTAGTTCGTTGTGATTTGTATAATATATATTATAAAAACCTATCGTCAATGTAAATGTGCCAAGTTTTTTTAATAATTATGTCCTTGTTATAGTAAAAACACATTTAAACACATTTTTAAAGTTTTCTGGATTTTGGCTTTAAATTATCGTACAATTGAACTGACTAATTGTGTGTTTAAGTAAAGGTATAATTCTTTTTTGTTATAACAGTCTTTGTATATTGTTATAATCAGAGAAAACAGTAAGCCATCTTAATATATCCTATTTCACCAACAAAAATGTAGAATAATTAATCTCACATCAAACGAAAAAAGTAATTTTAGGATGTCCTAATAGGTTTCAACTTAAAAACTAAATAAAATGTATATTGCAACTGTGTTTAAATAAATGAATGTTTTTACACCTGACTATAGCACCAGACAAACATTTTTTTAGATCATAATGATCTGCATAACTCAAAATAGTCAAAATTGTTCTAGTATTGTTTTAGCATAACGATGTAAACTCCAAATATTCACATTTTTTGGGACGTTTTTTAAGGAAATTAAAAAAAAACATTTATAATGTGATATTCTTGTTTAGTTTTGTACTATATAATATAGTTCATTAGGTAGTGATTTAGAAGCAAATTGTGTTCTATTTATAGAATAAAAAATCACTCATAATATCTAAATATTTATACCTATTTATATTTTGGACAGGAAGACTATTTTATGTTTTTGGCTCTGAATAATTTTCTTAAGAATTTTAAAACCTTCCTTAGCTCTTTTGGGATATTCCATGCATATTTTAGAAGTTCATTTTGTTTAAACCTAAAACAAATTAAGTACAAAAAATGAAAATTTAAACAATACACAAAATTAGTCTTTTAGATTAGTTAAAAAAAGTGTCAACAAAAAAATGGCTATGCCTTTTTCTTTAAACATTATTTTTGAAAGAAACTTAAGTTTCTCTACTTACTTGCTGTTTTAGTATTTTAGTAGCAGATGATTATAGTGTAGAAGTAGTGACAGGATTGATTATTTTACTTCATTCGTCGAAATTGCATTTTTCTTTAATATTTTCCTCCCCTGAGGTCTGTAATAAAAATGTTCATTTAGCATAAAAAGTTATTCAGGTGGTCACTTGTTGAATTCCTATATTTTGGAACCATGTATTTCTTTCTCATATTAAGAAAAGGAAACCTAAAAAAAATAACAATAAACTTTACAAAGATGTGATCCTAAAATAATAATAATAATAAGTAATTAACCTTTACCATAATCATTATGAGACGGATGAAGACGAACTTAGCAGGAGTTTACTTGCTCTTAATTTTAATTTCTCGATAAGAAAATAAGAAAGTTTAATTGCAAATTAAAGGTGATTGCCTAATGCACCGCCTCTGATAATTAGGTTGTGTCTGTACTTACTTATGATATTATCTTGAAGAAGCATTTTCAACAGGCCTTTTACACATAAAGCATGTTTTCACCATATTATTAGAGATAATAAATCTTAAATATACATTTACAACCCTTAAAATGTTATAAATAATAATATTTTCCGTAAAATACAAACAAGAAATTGACATGTGTCAGAACTGGCGCTGTCACATGTGGCAATGCTGATTAAATAAGCCAATTACAGAAGAGGTATTTTCCCCCTCGGGGGGAGTAGATGTTGCTAACAAAATTTAGCGCAGGGAATGGGGAAGACTCCCTCTAATAGTAGTAATTGCTCGGAGGTTACGGTGACGTTGTCACTTAAAAAACCAAAAATTACGTCATTTATTCATTTTAGTCTTCGAGCAATTACTTCTAGAGGGAACGTGAAGCTAGTTTGTAGACAATTGTTGTGTTCTCAATGTCTATAGTGGAAGTGAGGAAGCAGGTAAAAGGAGAAAGGTAAACACACCCTCATGTTCAGTGGCGTATCATGTCTCTGTAAGAACACACATTGTCCAAACTTTTTCATTGAAAAAAATTATATGCCTGATATAGAAAATAAAACAAAATTACTGTAAAGATCTAATATTCTATTCTCGCTCGCCGTTTCGGCTTTATCTTCCAAACTCTTCAATAAGAAATAAAAATAATTATTCATACAAGCAAAAAATAAAACAACGCGAATTTATTTTTAATAAGCTAATAAACGTTTATTTCAATGAAAAAACATATTTGTGAATATAAGAAAAGTAGAAATAAATAATATTAATATGAAAATCAATTTGAAAATACAACAAACAAAGATAAATAAAATAATTATTACATATACAAATAGAACTTATGAAAGTTATTAACATACCTTTTAAAAGTTACATGTTTTAAGTAGGTACACTTTTAGCGTTGATGGTCCTTGAACATATTTAATCTGACGTTTTCACCTTATTTATTGTTATAATTATTTTTTTGTGTTTGTTATTGACTTAAACTGCTAAGGTTATTTCGCCTCGTGTTCTGTAAAGGCTTTGTTACTGTTTCCCGGCGCCACTTTAGGAACAGCACTGTTAAAAGTAGTCTAGGATTCCAACGGAGGCGGAAGTTCCGGTTGATCGCTCCGAGAATAATTGTTTTATCTGCTTATCAAGTATTAGAAAAACCTGTGTAAAGTGTTCCAACAATAAATGTAGTGTAATTATTCATTGCAAGTGTTTTGAAACAGTGTCCAAGTTATTTTTCACGGAAAGAAAGGAATGGAAATGTAAGTCATGCATAGAAAATTGTTCTGTTGATCAAAATCCTAGCGATAATATTTCTGATTTAAAACATAAAGTTATTTTTAATGGATATTTAAAAAGGTAAAATGAACTTTTAATTAATTTGAATCACAAACTAAAATTTTATAATAAACTTCTTCAAGAAAAAGTTAAAGATTTGTCCGACAAATCATCGTCAATACCTATCTCAAATAGTGTTTTTGCTGCCAGCGGCAGTGTACCCCTTTTTACAGTGATATGCTAAAGAAACCAGTGGCTAACAAAATGCCATCGTCAAGTCTCCTAATACAAACAATAGATAAAGGGAACAATTCAAATGTTTTAAAGGATATTCAAAAATGTGTAATTCCTGCAGATTTAAAAGTATGCATTAATGGTACAAAAAAAACTAAGAATGGTTTAATTATAAATTGTGATAATCCAAAATCTCTGGATAAACTTAAAACTTCGATAAATAATCAACTTGGTAAGAAATATACTGTCAGTGAAGCCAAAAAGTTTAACCCGCGACTTATTATAAAAAATGTTGATATAGATGCAAATATGTCCTACGAAGAAATAGCTAACACTATATCTCTCTCAACCAAATGGATGCCTTTAGTTCCTGTGATCTTAAAATTGTTAACGTGCTAAGATAATCCCAAAAGACATATTGTAATATTGTTTTGGAAGTTTCCCCTTTGTTAAGAAACCACTTGTTGCAAAAATCTTTTGTGTATATAGGCTGGAAGGGATGTCCGGTAAATGATTATTTTAGGGTTGGTCGTGTAAACTATGTTAATTAATTTTAAATGAAATAAATCTGATTTTAATATAGAATCGAATTTAATCGGTGTTAAGAATAATAATACAAAAATGAAACCTATCGAATGAATGTCTATGAAAGAATGCCGTGCTAATCACCAAATATTCTTATGTATCCCAGTTCGACGTATCGTTCTACGAAATATGAGTAGCACTCGTGAAGCATGACAGGGTGGTCCTAGCCTAGCGATAAACGAAACATCCGAGTGGTTACAGTCGGCTAACCTGATAAATTTTCGCGTCCTCGCGAAGAGTAATCTGTAACATACAAAACAAACAAAATATTAATTAAACTGAAATTAATGAATGTGAGCGCGAATATTTCTATAAGAAATATACGGCTCCACTAGTATCGCTTTCCGAAACTTTCGTAACAGTTTCATTTTATCTGAAGGACCAATGCCCGTATAAGCTGTCCTACAACGTTTGGACCTTGGCAGTTCGTCAACCAAGTACCGATCGTCATCGAGTACTTTTGTAACTAGGGTCCTTTATAACAAGGTTCAAGCTTCCTGCTCCGTCCGTCATTGAAGCCTTTATTTGCTTGAATCAACACATGTTGGCCAACCTTTAATTTTCGTAACTGAGCATCCTTATTATCGTGACACATATTTTAGCCCAATCGGATTAGTATTTTAGATTCTGAAAAATTCGAAGCAGCAATTTTCCTTCGGAATTCGTTGGAGGGGGTCTCTGGTAGTCTAAATTCAAAAAGTTGGGATTCCAAAGTTGTCGTTACCTCCGCCATCTTGATTTAAAGGGTTATTTTTTGTATCTTGAATAACTCATTTATTTTCAATTTTACACGGAAAATAGTTTTTACAAAAGTTATTTAAAATTAAATTTCCTACAATTCTGCTTTTTTTTATACGATCGATTTTTTTCGATTTATACCCGAAAAGAGGTGTTGAATTTTTGGTTATAGAATAACTCGTTTATTTTCAATTTTACGAGAAAAATTGTTATAAACAAAGTTGTTTAAAATTAAATTTCCTACAATTCTGTTTTTTTTTTGTACGATCGATTTTTTTGTATTTATCCCTGAGAAGAGTGGGGTTGAACCTAAGTATTGTATTGTCACGTTTATTATTGATGTTGTACCATTATTTTCTCTGTTTGTTTTTTTTTGCTGATTTTCAAAAATGTTATTTGGTACAATTATGATTCCGATTTTTTCTAAGAGTTTACCCCCACTCTTCTCAGGGATAAATACAAAAAAATCGAGCGTACAAAAAAAAACAGAATTGCAGGAAATTTAATTTTAAACAACCTTGTTTATAACAATTTTTCTCGTAAAATTGAAAATAAACGAGTTATTCTATAATCAAAAATTCACCCCTTCTTTTCGGGTATAAATCGATCGTACAAAAAAAAAATATAATTGTAGGAAATTTAATTTTAAGCAACTTTGTTTATAACAATTTTTCTCGTAAAATTGAAAAAAAAACGAGTTATTCTATAACCAAAAATTCACCCCCTCTTTTCGGGTATAAATCGAAAAAAATCGATCGTACAAAAAAAAGCAGAATTGTAGGAAATTTAATTTTAAATAACTTTTGTAAAAACTATTTTCCGTGTAAAATTGAAAATAAATGAGTTATTCAAGATACAAAAAATAACCCTTTAAATCAAGATGGCGGAGGTAACGACAACTTTGGAATCCCAACTTTTTGAATTTAGACTACCAGAGACCCCCTCCAACGAATTCCGAAGGAAAATTGCTGCTTCGAATTTTTCAGAATCTCAAGCCTGTTCTTCACCTAATCCGATTGGGCTATTTTGGTACCTCTGTGCATCCTATCGGGGTTATGATGGACAAGCAATGCTATTCCTAACAGACAGGCCATTTGTAAACATATTGTTATTTCTATGTGTTTACAAAATAACAGACCTGTCAAAAACAACACAAGTTGTCAAGCATAAAACTTATTTCTGATCATTTCCAAATCTGGACATTCGTTATCGTCACAGACTTCAGCCGTCAAACATCATTCAGGACCATCGAGATAGAATGAAGTAGAGACGACATAAACACTTTTTTGCCTTATAACAGATGAACGCACTTCAAGTAATGGAAAAGTGTAATAAAAATGACGACTTAAGAGTCGTACGTTGATTTATTTGAATTTAATAATTTTATGTTTGAAGATTGACGAAACGAAAATGTTTTTATATCACTTAATTGAAGTTATTTTACAAAAAGGCATTTATTCTCACCAACAGTGACTAGTATCGTGATAGTATCTCCTCTTCGTTCCATCTCAACATCCAAATAGTTCGAAGGGAGTTTTCCCTGTAGTGGAATTAACCGTCAAATTAATTCCCCATTTTACATCTGCTACAGCTTCGTCTAACGATTTTCGTCATTAGTTGAAGCTATAACTGTTCATTCGTTCTACTTGGCCGTAAGCCCGATGAGTCGAAGTAGTACATACTACATGTTTAACACCTAAAGTCAAACATACCTGTTTAACACCTAAAGTTAAATATACTTGTTTAACACCTAAAGTCAAACATACCTGTTTAACACCTAAAGTTAAATACACTTGTTTAACATCTAAAGTTAAACATATCTGTTTTACACCTAAAGTTAAACACACTTGTTTAACACATAAAAACACACTTGTTTAACACCTAAAGTTAAACAGTATTCCTTAAAATTCTTGCTCGTAAAATCAGTGTCACGGTCGCAATAAACCTGCAGGAACACCGAACATTTTAAATTCATCTATAAATTTCAGTTTTGTATCACTTTTAAAAATATAAATTTCGTTAAGCCGTTAACTGCTATGATGAGATATGAGTTTTTCCCAATACTCTTATACAAATTTCTTAAAGCTGATAATCGATATGATCAGATACGAGTTTTCCTAACACTTTTATACAAATTTCCTAAAGCCGTTAATTGATATGATGAGATACGAGTTTTCCTAATACTTATGCAAATTTCTTAAAGCCGTTAATTGATAAATGACCTATCATGAGGGTGATGCAATTAACTAACATTAAAATTATTATAAACCATCTCTTTCCTTTTGCTGTTTTTTGAAAGTCGTCTATTCTTTATACAATACTCTATAAATTTGTCGTTCGTCTTTCGTAATTTATCTCTAGGATCTCGTGACAAAACATTTATAATATTGTTACAAGCGTTGTCTTGAAGTTGTGCTTAAAGTATCCGGTTAGCCTCCTTAATATTTACAATCATTACGCCAAGTGATTGATCCGTGGGTATAATAGTACTTCGGCTCAGAAAGTCTACGTGGCTGATCTTAGTTTAGTGCCAACATGGTATTCAATACCAAAATCGAATTCTTGAATTGATAGCCACTATCTTACGATGCGGAGAATTAAGTCTCGTTTCATACGGGTGTTACGAAGTAAGTTACAATCGGTGACGATTTTAAACTTTATGCCACTTAAATATATACTGAACTTTTTAAACGCGCATACAGCCATCAAAGTTTTAAGCTCATGAATGATATTTTTGCTCTTCTGGTTGTGACTCTACTAAAATATTATACTAGCCTAAAGTGCTGTCATTTTAACGTTATAGAAGTATTCCTACTGCTCCGACGTTACTGATGTCACAATGTTTTTTAGTTTTCACTTATCTGTTATAAATAGCATGTATGGATCGTCCTACTAGCTTCTTTATTTTTAAAATCGCTGAATTTCTTTGACATCCTTAGGTGCTGCAAAATCTACTACCATGTCCTTGGTGTGTCGTCTTCAATTCCGATTTGGGCGTCCTTTGCGGGTGTTTCCTCATCCTGTCTCTTTCTAGGGGTCTTTCATCCTCCTCTCCGTTATGGGTCTCCATCCTTCATCTACCGGTCTTCATCATCCATTCTCCGTTGTAGGTCTAAATATTTTGTTCCTACTCCTTTGTAATACAGCAGGAGCATTTACCAAATTAAAAGTCATGCAGTATGAACCGTATATTACAGTTTTGTTATCGTTTAATGTGATCAACATTTCCGTAACAGTCATTTTAGCAACCTTTCGTAAACTAGTAGCGAAACAATCCCCATACTCGTTAAGTAATTTAGAATGTTCAATTCAATTGAATACTGAATTAGTTTGTTTCTCAAGATCGAATAACGTAAAATTTGGTAATACAGCAATATCTGTTGCTTATCAAGTTTGAGATGGTAACTATCTTCGAAACTCTGGTACAGGTATAACCTCTAGCAAGTATTCTATCTTTTTCGTAACAAAGAGATTTAGCGGACATATTGGCAACATGAATACAGCAACAATTATTTATGTTAATAACAACACACGGTAAAATATGAAAATTATTATTTTACTTTCTATATCTTAAATCAACAAAAACATCTTAGATCTACAAAAATATCTTAGATCAACAAAAACATCTTAGATCTATAAAAATATCTTAGATCAACAAAAACACCCTTAAAGTTTTCATTTTTAATTAGCCCTACAAAATTCTGCGGAATGATAGTGGTTTCTTCTACACATAAATTAATTTTCTTAGACAAAGACTAGTTAATATGTGTAACGTTGACGTTATTTTAAAATAAAATATGACATACTGCATCTAACGATAACTGTAACCATATCATTATTTAAAAATGGCTAACCTACAATAACAGGGACATCCTGTACATTATCCGGTACATCAACGATAGCAGTAGCTAAATCAACATTCAAGGTTGTCGTAACCTTTGAAGGTACTATAACAAAATATCCCGCATAACCACACAAACGTACTAATGTGGGCTCACCCTGTAGATACAACTTGACTGCATCCGATTCACGAATTGTAACTGCAGCACAACCCGAGTCTACAAAGCCTCATATAT